CCTAAAGCCTATAAACCATAAATCCTGTTCTTGAACCCCAAAGCCTCGATCTCTCCGACTGGGAGCAGAAGCTGAGGACTCGTGTGACCAACATGAGCGAGATGAGCGACCGACTGCTGGAGTGGTGCTGAGAGCTTAGACTTGGGTTTAGGGTTTAGGGTTTAGGGTTTAGGGTTTAGGGTTTAGGGTTTAGGGTTTAGGGTTTAGGGTTTAGGGTTTAGGGTTTAGGGTTTAGGCTTAGACTTGCCCACTTGCACCGACCCTGGTGCATCCTGAAGAGTGTCCGCCAGACAAGGTTTTTAGGGATTTGGGTAGTGAGTTCGATATACTTTCTGGCAATGGGTTTAGGGCTTTTAAGATTAGGGCTAGTCATTTCTTCTGGCATTCTCCCAGACCCGCAGGGGCAGCAAGACAATAAGCAGGTACTAGGGGCGGCAAGAAGTTTTGTAGGATAGTCAGGTAGTCATTTACAGAGTCGATGCTAATTAGGTACGTCGACCCTTAGGAACTTGGTATTCCCAACATGGGGGAGTTCAGGGTTCAGAACATAGGTACTTTTAGGTACCGTGTTATCATGTGATATCCCGGCGCTTAGCTGGTAGGGTTTCCCAGAGTGTTTGTTTGTAAGGTTTTCTCCTTGTTTCTCCGGATGTAAGTTGAATCAGCTAAACCGGCTAAACCCTAAGCCCTAAACCCTAAAGAGCTCGGCAAAGCCAGTTTGCAGGCTTTCAGTTCCCAAAAGGGTCCTAAGTTCCTGAAGAGTTCAGAATTTAGGGCTTTAGGGTTTAAGGGTTTATGGTTTCGATGTTTGGAATCACAGTTATTAAATTTAACCCTAAACCCTAAACCCTCAACCCCAAAAAAGTCTCCCCCAAATAAGCACTTAGGACCCTCTGTGTTTCCGTGAATTTAAGCTGGAGTCCGTGAGCCTCGGTCCATCCGTAAAGACCGAATGACCCTTAAAAGTTAGGGTTTAGGGGTTTAGGTGTTTATGGTTTAGGGTTTAGGGGTTTAGGGTTTAGGGTTTAGAGGTTACCTTCTTTCCTTGAGGACCAAATGACCCTTAAAAGTAGGGGCCGTATTTCCATATACTATGAACCCCAATATCGTCTATGAACCTTAAGCATCCTTTTAGGGTTCCTTTCGTCCCTAAGGATACAAGGGTTTGGGTTTTTTGGGGGTTTTAACCCCAAGCCTCAGCCCTGAATCCAAGAATCCTAACTTAAATCTCTGAATCCTGAGGCCCGAAACCCGGGTTTAGGGTTTAGGGTTTAGGGTTTAGGGTTTAGGGTTTAGGGTTTAGGTATAGATTTAGGGTTTAGGTATAGAAGCCCAACAACATGCCCCAAACCCCTCTTCTGATTGTGACTGGGTTCTGGA